CCAAAGATCTCTCCACACCAGCTATCCTGGCTTCCTTCTGATGTTCTTTTAATATGTACTGACGCTTAGAGACTGAGATCTGCTTTGAGAATTGAGCCTCCTTCTCTGATTCCAGTCACAACACTCTCTCTTCATTCCAAGGATGCATCAGGACTAGAGAAATAACGTCTTTATTCATCCAAGTAAACTTTGCCTCTCACTCATTAATTTGGATTGAACAAATCTTTCTTATTTTTTTCCCGTGTTGTCCTCCAAATAATAACAGCCTGAGGAGGAGGCAGTTCGTATTGGATTTGGTACTTAATGACCTTGAGATAAGGCATTCAGTGATCAAGCAACATTTTCCTCAACTCTGTCATTCTGAAGCAGTATTCAATTTTACATTTGGAGGAGCAGGTAGCAGTTATTTGTTTTTAAAAATGCCTGTTGATTTAACACAATACACCTGTGAGTTTCCGTGGTCATTTATCCCTCCACTTGAATCCTTCACCAACTCCTAGCACCCCATTCCTCTTTCACAATCGCTCTACACACCTAACAATAGCATCCACCCCACTTTCCCCTTCTCACTTGGACTTCTCTCAGTTTCCTAGCCAAAATGATCAAGACAACACAGGATGTCAAACCAACAATGAGATTTCAGAATTATTCAAGGTTCTAATGCTATACAATGGTACTAGGTATTTTCTTAAAAACAGCAAGAACTCAAACACCTACTATGTCCCAGGAGTTGCTCTAAACACGTTGCAAAGACTAACCCATTTAATCCTCGTGACAAGACTATGAGTTGGATGCTATTATAAATTATTACACACTCACTTTAGAGATGCGGAAAATGAGGCACATAAAGGTTGAGGAACTTTGAGAAGGTCAGGAAGCTAATAAGGAGTAGAGTGGCAGTTCTAATCCTTACTCTGTGCTCTTAGCTACAGTGCTATCTTGCTTTGCTAAGAAATCAAAATGAAACAAGCAAAATTAAAAGCCATCTGTTGTTGTTGTTGTTATGTGCCGTCGAGTCATTTCCGACTCATAGCGACCCTATGCACAACAACCCTAAACCCTGCTCTGTCCTGCGCCAAACGCACCGCCTCTGACACACCCATCCCGATTACCCCAGTCACCGAATCAATCCATCTCATAGAGGGTCTTCCCCTCCTGCCTTGTCCCTCCACCCTCCCAAGCATGATGTCCCTCTCCAAGGACCTGTCCCTCCTGGCAACATGTCCAAAGTATGTCAGACGAAGCCCCAGAATCCTTGCCTCCAAGGAGTAGCTTGGTTTAATCCTCTCCAAGATAAATCTGTTTGTTTCCTGGCAGTCCAGGGTACATTAAGTACCCTTCTCCAGCACCATAGCTCAAAAGCACCCACTCTCCTTCTGTCCTCCCTAGTCATTGTCCAACTCTCTGATGCATAACAAGCGATTGCAAAGACCATGGCCTGTATCAGGCGCACCTTAGTCTCCAGAGAGACACTGTTGCTCCTGAGTACCTTAGAGAGGTCCCTAACAGCAGACTTTCCCATCGCGATACGCTTTTTGATTTCCTGACTGCTGGTGCCAAGAGTGTTGACTGTGGAGCCGAGCAAACTGAAGCTGTGAACACTCTCAATCTCTTTGTCATCCATCCTGACGCTGCCAATTGGTCTGTGGCGAGAATCTTTGTCTTCTTGACATTGAGCCTCAGTCCATACTGAAGGCTGCAGTCCTTGACCCTTCGCAGCAAGTGCATGAGGTCCTCCTCAGTTTCAGCAAGCAGGGTTGTGTCATCTGCATAACGGAGATTGTTAATAGACCTTCCACCAATCCTGATGCCACAATTCTCCTCATAGAGCCCAGCCTCTCGGATAATCTGCTCTGCATACATGTTGAAAAGGTATGGAGACAGGATGCATCCCTGGCGTACACCCTTCCCAATTTTGAACCATGCAGTGTTACCCTGCTCTGTTCTGACTACTGCCTCTTGGTCCAAGTATAGGTTTCGTATTAGCACAAATGTTCTGGGATTCCCATTCTTCTCAGAGTCAGCCACAGTTTGTTATGATCCACACAGTCAAATGCCTTTGCATAATCAATGAAACACAGATAGACATTCTTCTGGTATTCTCTGCTTTCAGCCAAGATCCATCTAACATCAGCAACAATATTCCTAGTACCACGACCCCTTCTAAACCCAGCCTGGACTTCCGGCAGTTCTCTGCTGATGTGCTGTTCTAATCGTTTTTGGATGATCTTCAGCAGAATCTTGCTTGCATGTGAAATCAATGGCACTACAAAAGATATTTACAAAACGAAACTATTATTTTAAAAAAGAAATCTACTTTCTTTTCAGAGAGCTCTCAAGAACATGAAAAGGAGAAAAGTCAGAAAAGGAGAGTGGATATAAGATCCTAATTCAAGACTATATCCAAATAAAGACAACATCATCTCTTAGTTCTATCATTTATTTTGTTGTTCTATGTCATCCAGTCAGAACCAACTCAGAGCTGTCCCTCCAATGGGGTTTTGAGGCAGTAAATCCCACTGGATGAGACTGTCTATTTTTCTCCTGCAGAGCAGCTAGTGGATTCAAACCTTGTTCCTTTGGGTTGGCAGTACAACCAGACAGTCCTCAACATATTCCAATAAGCTTTTAGGGCTAATAACATCAACCCAGCCACACCACCAACATTTATGCACCTGCCAAGCATTATCTCATTTAATCTCCACACTAGTGAAGGCCAATTTATCAGATCCTCACTAAATATTAACACAGGATAGAGAATTATCTTTTCAAGCAAGAGTTGTTCCCTGCCTAGTGTCCAGGAGCCCAGGAAGATTGCCTGCAGCTTCTCTGTGGAATAGGGGAGACAAGAGTCTTTCGCTGCCACCTGATAGAGAATGCCAAGACGAGAATCCTTATGGCAGGTTCTTACTTGGATCAGCTATGTAGTGGCCCAAACAGTCATTTGGTAGTCCCTAGCCTGAACTGTAATGCTCACTTTCTCATTTGTTAGCTGAGTGATGTAAGGCAGATCATCACCTCATTGAATCTATTTTCCAATTCTCTCATGTTTTTCTGAGGTCCAAACGAAATCATAAGGAGCCCTGGTGGCCTAACGGCAAGAAGCGATGCTGCAATCCTGAAGGTATATGGTTCGAAGTCACCAGCTGCTCTGAGCCACCAGCTGCTCCGCGGAAGAAGGATGAGCAATCTCCTCCCATGCAATTAACTGCCTCTGAAAATCCTCCAGAGAGTTAGCTATGGGTCAGTTCCAACTCTATGATACACAAGAACAACCAGGAATGAAATCATGCTTATGAACGTGAATAAATGACCAAGCTTTGGTGGTCGAGGGTTAAGAAGATATGCTCCAGTCCTAAAGGGTCCTGGTTTAAATCTGGTTTACCAGCTGCTCTGCCAGAAAAGAATGGACACTCTCCTCACAGGCTATTTGTGCCTCTGAAACAGGTTGAAGGGTCAGCTCTGAGTTGGTTTTGACTCAATTGCACACAACAACCACCTCCAAAATGTACTATAGTTGTGTGCCATTGAGTCAGACCAACTCATAGAACCTAGTAACATCAACCCAGCCACAACCACCAATATTTATGTACCTGTCAGGCATTATCTCATTTAATCTTCACACTAGTGAAGGCCAATTTATCAGCTCCTCACTAAGTATTAACCACATGATAGGAAATAATCTTTTCAGAGGCAGTAAGTTGGATGGGAGGAGACTGTCCATCTTTCTCCCATGGAGCAGCTGGTGGATTCAAACCATATGCCTTTGGAATTGTAGTGCAACTTCTTATCACTAGGCCACCAGAGCTCCCTAAAAAAAAGTATAGTAACATTATATTGCTTTAAATATGTGTGGTAAAAACTAAAAAACCCATCACTGTTGACAAGTCAGGTCTAACTCTTCCGCAAGTTTACAAGGCTGTAAATCTTAAAAGGACACATCTTATCATGAGAATGCACAATGTAATGTCAATGAACACTATAAAAGTCAGGACAGGGGATGATCAACTTGGGAAGAACTTGTGAAAGGACTGTATGGCTACTGCAAACAGCAAACAGGAACAGAATATTTATAATTGTTAATATGGGGAAGGGGAAAGAGAGAAGGGAAATGGGAGAGGGGAAATAGCAGTTCATTACATAAAACACAAGGTATAGGAATGAAGCACAATGGGTAAACCACTGTATGAAGACCAAGAAAAAAAGCCGTGAAAAAAGAAGGACGGGGAGATAGAAGAGACTACTCAACTTTCTCATAGGAGCAGCGGGTAGATTTGAAGCATCAAAGACGCACAGCCTTTGGTTAACAGTGAAACTTGCTATGGGCTACATCACCACATTGTATATATGTATATATTGAGATATATATCAATATTGATAATTATTATATTGACCTAAGGGCCTGCTATTTGCTGCTTCCAAGAAGATTTTTAAAGGATAGAATTAGGCCTTATTCATCTTTGTTTCTTTAGATGGTTTCTGATAGACACACAGTTGCTTTTGGTGCCTTTTGATTTTTCAGTTCATAGCGACTCAATGTGACGGAGCAGAAGTGCCCCATATGGTTTCCTAAAGCTGTCTTCTTTATGAGAGAGGTCGTTCCTTATGCCCAGATCGTTCCTTACAAGGCAGTAGGTGGGTTCAAACTGCCCAAACTGTGGTAAGCAGTCGATCTTAACCATCGTCCTCGCAGGTCTTCTGTAAAACAGTACTCACTCAGTACTTATTGCCAGCCGAGGTGGAGGTTAACTCATAGCCCACGCTCCAGTTGGTATCTGAGGCTGTTAATCACATGAGGATCCTGCCATCTGTCTCCCACTCAGCGGCTTGTGGATTTGAATTGCACCACTGCCACCTCCCCATGGACTAGGCCACCAGGACTCGCTCTCATTGAAAGCAGTCACTGAAATGTTTGGTGAATAAACGAATAAAGGGAATATTCAAAAGGACGCCCAGGACGGAGAAGAGGCTGTGGCAGAAGGACGAGCTGTGCACGGTACCTGCTTCCACGACGTGATCTATGGTTGGAAACCTCTTGAACACCGCGGTGCTCACCGAGCGGAAGATGAGCAGGGATGTGAGATTGACGTAGCGCATCAGCGTCCTTCTGAGCAGGCGCCCGTACTCGTCACTGCCGTGAACGCTGCTGGAGATGAGGAACATCAGCCTGTCCGGCCAGGGCAGGTTCACAAACTGGTTCCACCAGCGGTTCACGACCAAAGTAACATAAAATCCTGCAGAACAAGAGGAAAGGATAAACATCATCATTATCATCATCATCATAATCATTTTTTTACAGCAGATATATTCGCACTGTTGCTTTTAGCAGAAATTTAGCCTTATTTTGGGGGGCCAGGGTATGAAGAGATGTTATCCATAACTTATGCTTTTGCCCTCCAGAAAAAAAAAATGGTGTGCCTGGTAATGCCAAGGCACCCACTAAGTGAGTATTAGAACTCGTAGGTTGACTGCAAAAATGGAGTTAGTGGAGGGAAAGCTTACTTGTCCAAGAGCAGATTATTTACCTCAAACTTGCTTGGTGTTAATGTAGCGAAAGCGGCCCTGAAGTCAAACCTTATGGATGACTGTGGTTCTATTGCAAGCAGTGGCTTTTCGGGCATGCCTTTCAGCTTGGAAACACTCCCATGCAGAGTCATCGGTGTCATCGTAACGGAGACAGCTGTGTGGCTGCATTCTGCGTGTGACCTATACTTACCAAGCACAAAGGTTACTGGAATTTGTTCAGCATATCTGTCACAGTAAAGTGATAATTTTTCAAAGTAACGTTTTTGGGCTCCTGTAAGTAACAATCTGGAGCAAAAATAAAATGCACAGCCCTTTATGATATTATACTTCTGCACCTGCTTTGCAAGTGTGACATTAAGTGCAAACAAAAAAGCACAAATAATCTTAATTTTGCTTTTTCAAAGGAGCAGTCATTTTTTTGTCTTTTTACCTGAGTTGATGTGTTTTTCAGAGCGTTTTTAGTTGCTTGATTTTTTTACTAAAGTTTTTAATACATGAATGTTAGTGGTCACTTAATAGTGATGTTTAGGAACAATTTAAAAATTTTTACATGGTTGATTCATTGGATTTGGATCAAAATTTGGATAATTTGGATTAGAGTTACTGTTAACTAACTGTTAAATAATAACCCTGAATTTGACATTTTGGTCTTACTTTTTCCTGAATATGCTGCCTAGTACATTCTTGATTATACATGTTGTATTTCATAGCACTCTATAATAGTTTAAGTCCTGTAATTATTAGAAATTTAAAAAGAAAACAGATTTAACAATTATTAAGGAATACTTTTTATTATTAAATTTAGTTGCTGTATCAAATTTACAGATCTTACTCAAACTGCCTGAACCTATTTTCTGGTACTGTTAAACTTAGGTGCATGTAAAGGGATTGTTACTGATATTTATATCAAGGGAAACGAAGCCCTGGTGATACACAGGTTAAGCACTCAGATGATAACTAAAAGGTCAGTTGTTCACACCCACCAGTGGAGAAACCACAGCAGAAAGATGAGTCAGCCTGATCCATGTGAGAAAGGTTTACAGTCTCAGAAACACTCTGGAGCAGCTCTGCTCTGCCCTAGAGAATCGGACTTGACTCAGCAGCAATGGGCTTTATTGTAGGAAGGATGTCAGAAGGTTAAGTTAGAATGTCAGAGGTTAAGTTAGTAGTAGTGTTCAAAATATGGACAACTGAATTTGCATAAATTAGTAAGTTCAGCTATTCCACAGGAGGGTAGAATCTCTAGGAAAGATTTGTTTCAAGAAGCCCTTTTGGGTCAGTAGGACTTTGGAAAAGGAAGCAAAGAGGTAACAGTGAGAAACCAATTGGTTCACAGATGAGCTCTTGGGAGCTGTCGAGCTGCCAAAGAACGTGTGCAGGTGGGAGTGGGCTTGGAGTCCCTGTGTCAGCTTTGGAGGAGGTGTCTGCTTGACTGTGCTCAGGAAAGGCTGACAAACGGCACCAACTGCTTGACTGCTCAGGTCTATCAGGGTCATGCTGACGACAAGTTACAGCCAGTCTGGGATTTGATGCTCAAATACAATGACCAAAGAGGAGGTAAATACAGCATAGACTTGTCAGGCAAACTCAGGTTTGCATCCCAGATCTGCTACTTACAGATTTGTAACTTTAAGTTATGTTTTAAAATTGCAGTAAAAACTGAAAAAGCCAGAATGTGTATACAGTAGAAAGCTGCCACAGAAGGGCACACAAATATTACCACTCAGACAAGTGACAGAAAAGTGGAAAGACTGCACACTGTCAAAGGCAGACAATGTGCAAGACCCAGGAAAACAAGGAGGTCAGAGGAGTTCTGACTTCTATAGCTTTGACTTTATTCAGAGTCTCAGCGGTCCTCAGAGGCAAGGATGGTGAAACCTTGTTGCACTTACTTTGGGAATGTTTTCAGGAGAGAGACATCATGCTTGGAAAGGTAAAGGGTCAGCGAAAGACAGGAAGACCCTCAATGAGATGGATGAACACAGTGGCTGCCACAGTGGGCTTGAAGAGGGAAGCTATCCAGAGGATGGCACAGGATAGAACAAGGTTTAGGTCTGTTGTTCATAGGCTCACAGTGAGTCACAGTCACCAGAATGGCACCTAGCAACTACAAGAAGTTTCAGTTATAATAATATTCATACCTCAGGGCAGTTATAAGGATTAAACTGTATTGATAAAAACACTGAATAGATGGCCATGTGGTAAGCTGATAATCAAATGGTTGCTATTTTAACAGTTGGCCAAAGAAAATATTTAGCTAATAGATAATAGAGAAATGTTAATATCTAGAAATTACTACAGTATACAGAGAAAATGGAATGACTGTATCATTGAAGCTATTAGATGGATCTTGGCTGAAAACATGTTTACTTGTATTTTGTTGACTCTGCAAAGGTATTTGATAATAACAAATTTTAGGTAAAATTCTGAGAGATGAGAATTCCAAAAGACTTAATTGCTCTCACTGTACATAGACAAACAGTATATTCAGATAGAAATAGAGGTTTAAAATCAACAAAGGTATGCATTGTGGTTGTACCCTTTCACTGCACTTATTCAGTCTGTATGGTGTGCAAATAATCTGAAAAAGTAGTTTTAGTACAGGATAAAGGCTAATTAACAACCTGAGATATGCAGGTGACACACCTTGCTTACTGAAGCAAAGAGGACATAAAGCACTTATGAGGAAGATAAAAACTACAGGCTTTAGTATGAATTCTACTTCGTCATGAAACTCAACATAAGAAAATCCCCTAAATCCTCACAATTGAACCAATAAGTGGTGTCACGGTAAACAGAGGAAAGATTAAAGTTGTCAGTGATTTTACTTTTCTTGAATATACAATTCATGTCCATGGAAACATCAAGAAACCTGACGTAAGAGACTTCTTTAAAGTGTTAAAAGCCAAAATGTCACTTTGAGGACTAAGGCGCATCTAACTCAAGTTATAATATTTTCAATTGCTTCATTAATATGCAAAAGCTGAAAAATGAAGAAAAAAAAAGACCAATGAATATTGATGCCTTTGAATGATGATATTGGTAAAGAATATGAAATATAACACAGGCTTAAAGATGCATGAACAAATCTGTTTTGGAAGAAGTACAGTAAGACTGTTTCTTAGAAGCCAGAATAGAGAGACTTTGTCTCACATATCTTGGACATGTTATCAGGAGGTATCAGTCCCTGGAGAAGCTTGATAAAGTAAAGGGTCAGTAAAAAAAGAAGCCGACCCTCAGTGAAATGGATTGACACAGTGGCTGAAGTGATGATCTCAAATGTGGTCATGATTCTGAGGATTATGCAGCATTTGATAATGTTTCATCCTGTTGCTTATAAACAATTACCGAGACCAGCTAGAGAGCACCTAATAACCACCACAGATTCTTGTTATCAAATTCATCCAAATATAGCAAGAGGCATACTCAAGTCAATAAATTCTGGTTCTGCCTTGTGATTCTTACCAAGTGTAATTATTTATTTATAATAGAATTTTTAATAAATAGAATGGCTTGGTGTCCTTAGTAGACAAGAGAATAAAGCAATGTGTTTTTTCACAAGTATGCTTGTTTTTCTTTACTTAACAACTTCAGCCTATGAGTTTTTGGTTGTACCGTTCTTCAAAAGATAAGGGTTTATTTTATTTGAACACTTTTTACACTTGAACTCTAACACAATGAAGTATGATTTGTCCTAATTATTATTGCAGTAGATGAAAGCACTCTTTGGATTAAAAAAAGTGCCTACAATTTTATGAGGTATAAGTAGGATACAGAGGCTAAAGTCGAGGCCCCATGGAGTAGTTCTGGCTACATTGCAACTGTTTTAAGGTCTGTGCTATTCTAAGCAGCAGTAGCAGCAGCAATAAATTCACATTAGTAAAAATAAACTAATGAGACAGTTTTCCTGGAACGTTATTATGTCTTCCACCACTTCATATTCTGAAGGACTGAATGACGAATAACTGGATAAAACAATGTCACATTATACAAGACATTAGCTGAAAAATTCTTAGTGATTTTTAAAAAAGGATATTTTTCCGAAACATATACCAATATATGCATTTCTTTGGAAGGGTAATTTGAACATGTATGTAGCAAAATAGCACTTTGTATTTTTCTCTTGAAAATTATTAGGCCCTGAAATTAATATCCCTCTTCTCCAACTGGGGTCCTATTGCTGCAAGGAAGAATGTAGTTGAAAGCAAAGATACACAAATCTGTTCATCTCTAAAGCAGAAGAAAAGTAACAAAAATCTGTTCATCTCTAAGCAGAAAAAAAAGTAACAGTTATAGGATAGGTGGAGATACAGCCTCGAAAACCTGTAGCTTTCTTATTTATAACTTTAGCCTCTTCCAGAGAAGAAATGCATGCAAGCAATTTTAGTTTTATTATCTCAGAAATCCTCCATTTTACAATATTGATAAAATTTTACTAAGACTATAATCTTAGGGAGTTCTGCTGGCTTAGTGGTAAGAAAATAGTCTGTCAATCCAATAGTAGGCAGTTCAAATCTACCAGCTGCTTTATGGGAGAAAGATGGGAAGTCTCCTTCAATGTGATCTACAGCCTTGGAAAAACCCCTAGAGGGTCAGCTATGAGTGTTTTCTGACTTAATGGCACATATAACATAATTTTCTTTTTTTATATAGAAGTATTTTTTTGGACATGATATTGTTCAAATTTTCTGTCAATCTGATAGGCATAGGTTGTAATTTTATAAAAAATAAGCCTCTTTTTTCCTTCTTTTTAAAAGCCTCTTCTTTTAGGATAAAACATTCTGAACTTGAAAAATGTAAGAAAAATAAGTTGGTCCTGGGGCCCTTTTTTCAGGTGGGGTGTTGGCAAGGGAGAGGTACTGGCAAGGGGTGGGGAGCACGCTCTAGCCTGGAAGCTTTTGTCATTTCAGACAAAATGACAGAATGTTACCTAATAAACACTATTCCTCAAAGTGTTAATGACATATGTATTTGCTATACTATCAGCTCACAAATTCAAACTATGAATAATATATGGAGAGAGATACAAATTTTTCTATGGACTTGGACATTCAAAATTATCATGTAATCAAGATCTAAGGATAGATATTCTTTTTATGCCAATAGCAACATTCTTGAGGCACAGTAATACCAAATGAAATACATAATAATTAATATGAGTCGGGAATTAGAGCCATTTACACATGACAGAATCTACTTGACATCTTAAAAATGGTTAGGTACAGATTAAAAGACCCTGTCCCAAGGAGGAGACCACACTACAGAGGTTCATGCAAAAGAAGAGGTTCAACAGTGCAAAATCAGCAGCCACCAGAGGATTTGGGTCTTTGAGACCGTATTTTGAAACTATGTTTGATGGCTATAATAAAGACATGCAAAGAAAAGTACCTGTACATCAAACTTATCGCTGTGTAAAGAATAGCAAAAACAATAAATTCCCTGTACAGTAGTTTGTAGATGCTGCCTCTCCACTTGAGGAGTAACCTATGAAATCCAAAAAAAGTCGCATTTGCAACTTTACTGGAGTAAGTGACAGTCATCTTCTATAGGTTTTTTCCCCCTAGGGAAGCAATAAGACAAAACACACATGAAAAAATAATATTTAAAATAAAACACAAATCTCTTTGTTAAGAGGAGCTGGAGGCACCAACTAACCAGTCATGTCCCCTTAGCCTTTCTCAGAGAAGAAAGCCATGTGTATGTAATTTGGACTGTGGGGAGAGCCACCACCTCAGGGCTCTACCTTTTAGCAGAAAAGGAGAAGTAAAAGGTGTCTGGAAGGAATAACATTAGGAATCTTAAACTTGCTTTATAAGGGGTTAACAGATATTTTAATTAGTTTACTACACTAATAAATGGCAATTAATGTTATAAAACAAAGTGAATAAGTGTATGAAAAATGTGATTTGTAAACCTTCATTGAAATAAAAAAAGAATATAATAGCAATCCCCACACTTGCTGTAATTGTAACATCTTAAATTTATATTATATGAGTACTGCTTACAAAATATGCTTAGAAAATATTTGAGTGAATAAATAAGGTGCATGAGATAAAAATGAGATAATTTCCTCCTGAATCCATGGGAAAATTTAAGGTACTTCATATGCTCTATTAATCAACATTTTTTAAAAAAACAGTTGCCAAAATGATATTTGGGCCTCTGTGAAGAGATATTTCATCCTTAAACTTCCTAAGGAAAGTTGTGACTCTGCTCTCTGAAACCAGGAGACATTGTAGGGAAGAAGGATGCCTCTTGTGAAAGTTTAATTGATGAGTGAATTCTGTTGGGTTTAGTTGAATGTGGGTGGACCTCTGAGGGTTTAGCATTCTGTGCATGACAAAAGGTAGGCAAAATGTTGGTTCACAGTGGTAAGTGCACTTTCTGTTGAAAAGTCTTGGATAAAATATCTAGAGATGTTATTACTTTCTGTATGGAATTGCACAAAATGAGTTCAGTATTTAAGGACTCTTTCTATCCGAGCTGAGATCTCTGAGTGGTGCTGCTTATGACTGATCGCTAATCAAGCAGCAGGCTCTACTTCAAATCCACCCAGTGAAGCTACAGAAGAAAAGCCCAACTATTCGTTTCCATTAAAAACAAAACAATTCCTTGATGTAGTTCTACATTATAACACATGGGGTCGCCATGAGTCAGACTCAGCTGGATCAGTCTTATGGATGTGATTGGATGAGAATGGCCCTACAGGTGAGTTCCCAGTGATTGTTCCAGAATCCCATCACTTTTCACCAAGACTTTAATCATAAAGATTTTGAGATGAAGGACTCAGAACTAATACTTAATTGAAAATCCTTCTCCTCTAACTATCCTCTAACCTGGATCATGTGCTGATAAATGGAAATTTCTTTGAATTTTTTTTCCCCAAAACAATCTATGAAGGAAACCTTTAGAGCTATTGAGAATGAAATGATGGATCTTTTAGGTAGAATCCAACTAGACACAAGACAAATTCTATAGTAGATTTCTTACATAAAATAGTATTTTATCACTAACAATAAAATGTTGTCTTTACTTAAAGCTTGGGAAGCAATCTCTCTCTGACCATTTTCCCTAACAAATGAAACTGGAGCTACATTTATGATACTTTTCTGCAACCACAATTTTAGCTTTCAACATTACTAATTTTAATTAAGAAACCAAGGGCCTCTTGGCATAAGAAAGAGGCATTACAACATGATGGGACTTGGGCCACTGAACCGGTTTCACCTTTCCATCCTTCTTTACCTTGTCTATTTGTCAACCAGGAGAGCAGCTAAAATTAAAAATGGAGCATAACAAATCAGTCCCCTCTCATAGTTTGTTTTCATGAGCACAATATTGAAGTAAAAGTTTGGAAAGTCCTCAGATAACTTCCCTTTCATTCAATAGTCAGGCCAGTCTTCTGGCTAAGGTCTATCAGAAAAACGAAAATCACATCAAGTAGAGGTCAGAATTAAAATACATATGAATACGCTTGGTGCACTAACCTATTTATGTGGTTTGGACTCTTCGACAGGAAAGAAAATCTTCTAATTTCAGGCTCCCCTTGAAGAGGTGCCTCCGGGTCAGTGTTGCCTGCTCGGCTTCACCCTTCACTCATGCACAGTCAGATTTTCTTTCTGTCTCTTGGCCACAGAGTGGACCCAGAGCATGGCAAGCACGGGGGTTAAATGTTTTTCCACTGGTGGAGGCTGTTTATGCCAATTTGCCCACTGATGACAGTTATAGCTGGGAACAAACAGAAGCAACAGCTGCTGATGCTGCTTTTTTCTAATCTATAATTATAACTCCACCTGCCACCCAAAGTACCCCTTTGAATGAGACATTGGCGGTGATGTGAAGCTACTGGGTTGCTTATAAGTGTGTTATTTTCATTTTCATTCTATCTTGAGATCAAGGAAGATAAGTCCATTTTCTCATAAAGGTTCTAAAGATGATCCAGCAGCTAAAAAAAAAAAAAAGAGGAATTAAGACAGTTGTTTTGCACTTAGTATAAAGAATAAGTTCATGTGAAGCAGACAAGAATATAACAGGATTTTGGATTCTTTGAGAAGTACTGAGAGTATTTATGCACTGAAAGCAACATGCATGAGTGTACATTTGTGCGTTGTGTGCATGTGTGTTGTAGAAGAGCATGGAGAATTATGATACATGATGGCTTCGTGAATGGAAAATGATCCCGTCATTGATTCAATACATTTATTCTTCTCCATGGTTAGCTGGAAGAAATGTTAAATTATTAAAAATGTTTTCTTACAGTTTTCCTAAAAGAAACACCTTTTCCTTCTTAAAAGAGAGTTCATCCACATTCTTTAAATAATGGAATAAGTTATTTCAGGACCATTTCCTGGGGTCTTTTATCTGTAACTTATGCACTAAATATTATACTGAAGTGTAAACAAAATACCTTAAAAAATGTACTGTTGTAGAGAAAGAACTCTATGTGTGTATGTGTGTGTGAGAGAGAAAGAGAGAAGGTATATTCTAAACCTAAAAACATATATTTTTAAAAGATGGGGTAACAAAGGCATAGATCAATAATGATAAATTAAATTATATAAAACATAATGTATACGGATGCATGTATAAAAGGAAATGAAGGTACATGAATATTCATGAATGAAACACAATACATGAATGATTGCATAATACACAATATACACAAATGAAACACAATATATATGAATGATTGCATGCAAACTAATAAGAAATTTTAAAATGGAAGCTTTAACTTAAAAAACCCCCACCCTTATCTATTTTAAAAGGAGCTCTGATGGCCTAGTGGGTAAGGAGTTACACTGTCAATCCAAAGACAAGCAGTTCGAATCCATCAGGAACTCTGCAGGAGAAAGATGGGCAATATCCTTCCATGTAAATTATACCTTTTGAAAACCCTTGGAGGGTCAGCTAGGAGCTGGTTCCAACTGAATGGCAATCCATTTTCTGGATACTTTTAAAAGTTTTTCTGAAGTATTCATAAGCTCTATAAGCATTTTCCTGTTCCCCTCCCCCCATTTCTTACTTTAAATCAAACTATAACTTCCTTAGAACAAAGAGAGAATTGTAGATCTCTGCATTCTTGTTCTCATCACTACTCAGACTTGCAACAGTTTTATGCACAATGGATATTCAGTATATGCTTCTTGCTTGTTTATCACCGCACTGTGATTAGAATATGTTTTGGGAATTTGTGAACATTTTAAAGGGGTGTGTGTGTGTGTGTGTGTAATACTGCACATTTTGTATTTGGGTTAGCAGCACAATATGCTACTGATGCTGCCACCAGAGTTCCCTTGCATATTTTGTATTTGAGTTACTACTATCAGAAGTGGTCAGATATTATGAAGGACCTGATGTTGCATTGAAAAGGCTGGAGAGACTGATTAAATTACCTAATTTGAGCAAATTGTATCCAAATTCTTATGAAGAGGAAATATTAGAGTTATTTTAAGACATGTTTTCCTTTTCAGCTCCAGTTGTGGTGTGTGGTGGCCCTGTGACATTGCCTGATTCCTAGCAGTTACGGCTGCCCAACAGAGGTGCTCCCTCCTATAGTGGGAACAGCTGGCTGTATACATTTTAAAAACAGGGGTAATTATGTACATCTTCCCCACGGGTAGTTTTGAAGGATGACCAATTAAGGCTTGGGTATTCTAATTGCAAATTAGTAAAAAATGAACAATTGCACAAAGTCCCACTGTTGAGTGCTGAGTCTGTTGGCTGTTTCTAATAGGTGCTGGAAGATGCCATTGAGAATACTACAGCTTATTTAAATAGCCAACAAACATAAAACAGTAACATTTACTGTTTACATGACTTTTTGGAAAAAATATTTTAAAGTTCTTGTTTAAAGATAGTGATTCCCCCAGACCTTCAAAGTAACGTGATCATTTTAAAATAGCAATGACATATATAGAAAAGAATAGCATTTTATTATGCTACCATGGAAGGATGCTGGTCACTTGCCATAACATTCACCTTTCTAGGATTTTGTAGAAAATACTGCAGCTTTATAATGATAGATACTTTTTAAAATTTCAAAATTATAAAACATTAAGCATTAAATAATTAAATAGGAGGAGAATTTATTACCATTGAGGTGGAAACAATGCATAGCAGACCTTGCATTGGGTTTCCAAGGTTGTAAATTGCACAAGAGATTTCTCATCTTTTCTCCTTGGAGCTGCTGCTGGTGGATTTGAACTGTAAGAGCGGTGTAACCTTTGGGTTAGCTGTGTAACTTCCTATGGACTGTGTCACTAGAATTCCCTTGTAATGAACTAACTATAATAAAATGAAGTAACCATGTAAGTAAATGGCTAAATTTAAATAATAGTCAAATTTTCTTTTGACAACAAACATAAAGTTATGTTTCTCTGACCACTCTGATTTCCAAGAGTTTTGATAGATACCTTTCTCTTTTATGCCAATGAACTTCCAGTGACAAGACAATAAAAAAAAGAACAAGTGGTCATTTCCATATAGTGGGAATACTGGTCTTCATTCATAGATGTCAAGCTAAGTCACCATTTGTTCTGTG